ACTTTTTATAGTTAATTATCATTTTCGTGCAGTTAAGTTAATTTTCTTTTCGTGTCATAAGGAACCAACAAGACAATACTAATTTGAAGACTCTTTTCCGATTTTGGTCATTTTTTTCAAACTATATATCATAATAATCTATATTTTACAGTGTTAAACGTCTTTATATATGTTTGCCTAGATCAAAATACTAGGGCAGTTTATGAAAATATTGTAAATTGAAAGAAAAACAACTTTTTAACTGAGTTTTGCTTATTTTCTATCTCAACTTTAAACTTATCTAGTTAAATTTTTTTATTGTTAACTTTTCACTTAACTAAAGACAATTCAATTGAATTAAATTAACTTTTCACAGTTAATTATTTTCAGTAACTTAATCACCTTTGGAAATTACCAAGAAATATAATGAGTATCTATTGTTTGTGCGTTACGCGCATAGATAATAAATAAATGGTTAGGACGCCTCAAATTCATTATATTTTTATATAGTGTGATTATAATAATATATTATATAAAGATAATCAGATAAACGTCATGAGTATACTAATTTGGCCTAAATTCGTATAAATTGCATTCGTCGCCTTTAAGACCTTATAATATTATATCTAAATCCATTTTCTTATTATCTATATGGTTACACGGAAATATATAAATTTGTTTCATTGGGAAATTCGTAATTGAAATTTATTATCAGAACACAAACTACTGATCGTCAAAATTTACCGCATACATAGTATAATCACGTCTCCGATTGACGCTAAATAAAATATAATATCAACTCCAATACACTGACCAATACGGGCAATACGTTGACTTTTCTTTTTCACCGACTGACTCAAAGGAAAAAAAGTATCTGACTATACTATACACTCGACATATCGCCCTCGACTACCATTATTATTATTATTATTTTGCTAACGACTGCGCTCCCTTGGGTGGCCGTCGCTAAACGCGTAACCGAGTCGGGCGCATATAATGTGTAATCGTCGTCGAGTACAGTTGCTGCCTAACCCGCCACCTGTGCCCACCCCTGTTTGGAGGTTTACGGGAGGAGGGTGCCTTAACGAGCTTTTTATTGAGTTTCATTTGATCGCTGTGGCGGTGTGGGCGATCAGAATAACGCGCTGCACACACACACACACTGGAGCACAAAATATAATGAAATATAATATATCTACGATTTTTTTTTCAGCTTGTTTTCCAGCCGCAAACTCGTTTACGACCTAATCACGATTTTCTCCTTTTGTCGGTTAAATTTTGATTTTATTTTTTTATTAAAACGCCCGGCGTTGAGAGGTTTTGTAGGTGTTGCTGCAAAATACACCGACGAGAACAACAGTAATAATATTATACGTAGGTATAGGCAAATATAATAATATTGTCTGGGTTTCCCTATTCAAGGTTTGAATATGTAATAAATAATAATATTGAACACGTACAAGTGCGATCTACAGCGGCGGAGACTTTGTTTGATGTTTTGCCATTCCAAGTTATTATTAACTTGTATTTTACAACAATACTATACATAACATAAAATTATACACAACTACAGTGAGTGATTCTTTTAAAAGTAAGTACTAATTTACTCCGCGAAAAGTACTGCAGGACTAACGATTATGGAAATTATTACAAAACAACATATCTTATAGCTATTATTTTTTAAGTTGTATATATTTTATATGAAATATGAATGACAGAATACGTTTCTACATATGTGAATATTTACAAATTCAATTTGGAACGAATAGTTTATGATCTATATTGTATAACTTATAACAGCTTATAATTTATTATTTAACGTAAGTACATATTTTAGATAAATTATTATGATGATGGATGATTCTGAGTGGGTTGCCACGAATAGGGATGCCCCAAAATTGTTGGTCCACTACGTACTTCGTTCAAAAAAAAAACATTAAATACTTATCAGTTGCAATTAAAATTGAATACTTTTTTGGTATTAAGGTTGCTGCAGCAGATGAAAAAAAATGACTTTTAGACCAATAAGCTAGACAAAACTGGAAGAATTTGGTTTCACAGATTTTACTTTTGAAAACGGATTAGGATTGATCAACAAGTTTACTAGAGAACGATCGACACGATTTTGAATATTTTTTTTTCAGCTGTGATATTCAAGAATAAAAATATCGAAAAAAATATGATATTTTGTATTTATATTATTCATTATTGCACTAACAATAATTGGAATATCCAAAATCGCCTAAATCATTCCCTAGTAAACTTTTAGATCAATCATAATCCGTTTTCAAAATTAAAATCTTTCAAACTAAATTCTTCCAGTTTTGTCTGGCTAATTGGTCTAAAAGTCACTTTTTTCATTGACTGGAGCCCCCTCCAGCCACCTTAAGGCTTATTATATGATACGGAATTTAAATATATTGAAAAACATTATAACAAACAAAATTAATATTTAGATTGGTCAAATCTACATTAGTTTTGACTTTTGACAAAACCGGCTGCAGCCCCCTTAAATGTTTATATTATATTGATACTTCCGAAAAAAATATTCTGTTTCGAAGGATGAAATCAAAAACCAAAGTTAAAAAAAATAACCTTGAAAAATATATTTCTCTTCATTAAATGTTGTTTCGTAGTGACCAGCTTATTAAAAAATTTTCCAGAAGAGTACTTAATGAAAGTAATAGTGTTGATCTAAAAAATCACTTCATGGCAGGTAGGTACCTATATATTATATTATATTTTATGGTCCGTTGTGCTGTTCAGTTTTTCTGTATTATCCTTGTAAAAAAAAAAAAAAAACAGGAATATACGGAGTTCTTATACTCAGTATATTATCCATCAACGTACTATAATCAGTATCTAAAAATATTACAATAATCTTTATCAACCCCCATAATCGTTAACGACCTGGAAACCAAAAACTCGATTTTATATGTTTGTCACGGCGTGGCGCGCCGCAAGCAAACGAAAAGAAAAACCCCCGAATTAATAACGCGCAGGTACCCATAATGTTTTTCAATTATTTAATATACACTAACAATAATAATAATAATAATAATACACGAGCCGTGAGAGGATTAAAACCTCGTATAATATACCTTTTCGTGAAATAAATAAATAATAAGTGCGACTAAAACGAGGATAAATACCTGAATAATATAATATTTACCATTGAGTGGATTAAGCTCGCAAATTAATTTTCATAAATGTTTATTAATTCGTGGCGTACAATATATTATTATTATAATTCAAAGCAGGAAATAACCTTCGAGGTATAGGCGTTCCGAATATATTTTCCATAAAAAATCCGTATAAAAAAAAAAAAAATTATAATCATCGAAGCGTAATTCATTTTTATCCTATACCTATACCTATTTTAACCCTCGTCGAATTTACAGTTGTCGGGAAATTTCAATCTGCTGTGTGACATAATATTATTAACAGGTAAAATTTAAACGACGAGTGCGTCGACGACGCGGTACGAGCACAAACTGACGTCGGACGATATTATATTTATGGAGAACGTGAATAAATGATTCGAAAATAATTATTTTGTTTTCGGATTTTGAGAGGGAGACGAGACGAGTTTGACGATGTGCATTTCTTAGACGCCGCCGACCGATGCCGTTGGCATTTTACGGTTCTTCAAAAGTTACGCTTGGCTCATTCATATTTTATACATCGGACATTTGACACGAGCTGCAGTGCGGCACTTTAATCCGCCCCAGGAATTTCTCAGATAATTGCCTAACCCTGTTCGCACCTCATTTTATTACTTTCTGACAATCATCCTGTCGAGAGCTGTTGTACACGGAGAAACCGAATATTCGTTTTCGAGTTTAATTTCTGTCACGTAGAACAATATTATAATGTTACGATCGGTTAGCAATCGATCGAGCGCCTCGGAAATATTTTCGGCGAGAAACTATAATAAAGTCGTAATAAAAAATAATGAAAATTAATAAATAATATTATAATATGGTTCTAAATTTTTTTTAAACATTATATTATACGAATTAATCAATGGTCACTGTCATACCCTTGTCTTAGAGTTATTATTATTTTTTTTTAATTTAGTTAATGCTTCGACATCTATGACCATTAGCCTGAAGATTATGTTGTAGGTATTTAATTATGGGGGAGGGTACGGTTGGTTAGAACACGTGTAAATGTGGAGATGATTTGTCTCCAAAATCTGAGTGGTCACCCAACCAGAAACTAGTGACACCGGCTGATCCTTGACTTAAGAACACGTTCGTGACTGAAGCCAACCCCGGCGTCACACCAGACCATTTTTTAATTGTATTGAGACAATGGATAGGTATTGATAATATTTTTTTTCATGCGTATGGAGACTTAATAATATTATCTAGTATTAATCGAACGAATTCCTACTTAAATAATAATATATTTTGATCTTATAAAAACAATTTTTTGAGACCTTCGCATATTATTTTATAAAAATGTTAAATATCATTTTTTTTAGTTACTTTTATACATTTCTCGTTTCGTGAAAACGTACACTAAAACACATTACATTACCCCATAGCTTGGGTTGAAACCACGTTTTTCGATTTATATGCCACCAAACTCCGAGCTAAGATTCATTTTTCAAAATCCGATGATTTATCATTCCTTTCAAATGTATAACAACTGGCATTCGTCGGGGTCAGTCCATTATACTCTCTATGTATATGTACTAACTTTTTAACTTCAGAGGAAAAGTAGGCTTTGGCATTAGAGCGTTTCATTTTCACGGAAATCTGTTTTTTTTTTAAGATGGTCCGTTCCAATAAAAAAAAAACAAAAATTCAAATAGCAAATCTGTAACCGAAAATTCCATAGAAAATATTGTTATTACCTATCTAATGGTTTTTTTGATTTTTTTACTACTATTCTAGTAGACTTGTAGTTATTGTGAATAGCGGTAGTAAAAGGCCAAAAATACTGAGCAATAATATAGTAAGAATGCAAGTCCTCGACAATATCTCACACAGATTTGGATAAACTGAGACTCTATGATATTTGTTGGTATGTGATGATACGAATTCCAAGAAACTCAGGTCTTAGACATGTTTCCGACATATTTCAGTCGTGTATGAGGCATAAAACATACAGCAACAAAATAATCTAAATACCGTTAACGATATTATTCCTCTATAGATTCAAATTTTTGTCAAAACCACCGTTGTTCTTCGACAACATGGAATTGTCGAAATTGCTGATCTTTTAAATATTATTATTTTCGAACAGTTAAATTTTACATTTGACTGTCAAACCATTAATAATAATAATATTGTATTTAGGAATAAATTGGTAAGGAGGTGTCCCTGGAAAAATGTTTTCAGCCCTGTGCTTGTTGAGTGTATGGTAAACCGAATTATGTATTTTTTTTTTATCGTTATACGTAATATTATTATTATATAGGATTAAAAAGTATTATAATTTCACTGACATGGGAAAAATAATAACATATATTTACCTAAATGCGTAGGAATATTTTTGAACATCATGATAAACGGCTTACACGAGCCAACAGTCATTTGCATAATAATATTATATTCTACGTCTAACAAGACAAATTGCCTATGCAGTGCTCCTTGAAAAAAAAAATGTCAGTTTCTCTTTCGTTGTATTATAATATTATTATAATAATATGATAACATTTTACAAACAAAATTATTCAATATTATTATTACACTGGGCCGAGTTCATGCCCGAAACGTTTTGTGATTTATACAGTACATGCGTTTACTGGAGGGTGCGGAGTGTGTTTCAGGATAGGAAAATTATTATTACAATCAACAATGGATTTTCTATAAGAAATTAAAGCATTGTGTTATTATAATATTGTATTGTAGATCGTAAACCCGTAATAATTTCAAAGGTGTAAAAACGCCTACGGTATGGGCACTAACGCAATGTAGTCACTATACAACGGATACGTACTCGTATAGTATCACTATTAAAATTCTGTGTGACTTTTTTTTTAAAAACATTTTTTATCGTATAGTTCGCCGGTGGGGTCGTATTAATTAGAGTAATTATTATTATTTGAAATCTCGTGGAAAACGTATATAATATTATATAATATTTTTGTATTGTGTTGAATGCCATAAAGCAAGGAAATCTATGCTATGGACCGTTATACGATTTCATAAAAATTATAATAATGCAAGTTGTTATAAAAGTACAATACGGGTTTACACGTTGTACAACAAAATTATTATCGTCCTACAGTTTGTCGTCGTATTTATATCATAATATCCCGCCGTGTCGTCTGAACATTTAATATAATATTATATTTTTAAATATTACTGGAATTACGATATAGTAAGTGTGATGAGAGATTCTTTAAATATTTGAAAAACTATGCATTGTAGACACGCTTTTAGAGTAAATTAAATATGTGACTCATGTAGTAGTAGTTAATTACCTAGTAAAGTAAATAAGATAATTAGTTATTTGTACGAATTAAATTATGCCAATCCACACCATTATACCAATTGAATCGAGATTACAATACCTTCTAGGTGGCAATTTAGAAAATAGTACTCCAAGACTCCAGTACGGATTGTAAAACAATGGAATATTTCAATGTATAAGGGATAATAATGTATGGTGCATGTATATATTATGTGTAAATAAATACAGCCACACTGCATGAAGTTCCATCAATGAATTGGTTTCTTCACGCAATTCTAAACTCTAAATGACCCCCATTTGAATGCACTTCACTTTTCTTTATTGTAAAATGTAAGTTGCTAATAATTGTCAAATATATTTATATTACACAACCAGTTGATATATATCTTCAAAAGTCGTCGGAAAATCCAATATGCAACGAAATAATAGCTCATTTACAATAGATTGTCTGTATATATACTTACTCAATTTTCAATCTACATATTATCCGAAAATCAAAATCATAACTTCACAAGATGATTAAGATGTAGTACAAATCTTTTTAATTTTTTCATCATAACCGTTTTATTAAAATTAGGACTTTTATAAATAAATGATTTTATTATCCATTAGTCATTACTAATACACATAACCGCATAAGAAAATTGCATGAAATTTGATAATGTTTATCAAACACATACACATGAAGATAATATTGTATGTATCATACGATTTTATAAACATTAAATTTGATTGGTGTATCAGTTTTCATCGATGTATAACCTATATAAGTTATTCTTCGATTTAATCATAATAAATATACTATCACGCATAATACTACAATAGGGTAAAATACAATATATTATAAATATCAAACATATTTATTAAAAAGGTGGGTAAGTGGATGTCGCTCTGCTGTACATTAGGTTACAAGTGGGTCACTGTATAATTGATGCTATTAAATTTGAATTCAATGATACAATATCATTGTATAAGAAAAACGATTCTGAGCGAAGACGGTATGTCAGTCTAGGTTAAGACAAATTATATACATATCTATGGTATTAAAAAAAAATTGACCTATAATAAATTCCAAATTAATCATATCACATTATCACAATATCCATTAGGTACTTATAACACGTTATACACCAACAACAAACCCTGATACTATCATATATATATAATAGTACACTTTAGAAGTTTCAAGTAGGTACCCACGAATAATATTATATAATCACAACAAAATAACTAGGTTTTTTAATATGTAATTTCGTCAAAATTTGAACATAAAATGACTATAAAAATAAACTGTGATTGTATATTTTTTAAATTTTTCGGTAAGAGAATTAACTACTTACGTGGAATCTTGTTTTAAATTTTCAATCCTTAGCTATAAAAACTGAACATTTTATAATTTATTAATTACGATGATTAATAATTTTCGAGATTTTGAAAAATTCTGTCAAAATTCGATGTTAAAATGCTTATAAAAAAAAATTGTGCCTATGTATTTTTAATATTTTTCAACTGATATTGTAACAATATATCAGGAGCCTTGTATTAAATTTTTACACTTTTTGGCCCAACAGATAAAACTTAATTGATATTTATAGAAAAAAAAAACTAAAAAAATTTAAAACTGAAAATGTCCGTAAACGGCTCAAAAAGAGTCAAAATATTTTCAAAATTGTATGGTGTATAGGAAATGCTAATATAAACATTCAGTGAAATTTTCATGTATCTACAGTAATTCGTTTTTTAATTACAACAAAAAAAGGAAATTGCCACATGAGAAATCGAGTGAATATCCAATGTTGTAAAAATTTGAATTTCAAACGCTCATAAAAATTTAATTTGACTTTCCGGTAGAGATTTTTTTATTGATAAAGGTAGACAATCTTATGAGTAATCTTGTATTAGATTTTCAAATCTTAGATTTAAAAAGAAAAATTTTTACGAATTCTTAACTCAAAATAATTTGCTAATTTTCGTGATTTTTCCATATTTTGTCAATTTTTGAACTTTAAATGCTTATAAAAAAAAATTGTGACTAAGGATTTTTAATATTTTTCATCTGCCCTTGAAACAATATATTAGGAGCCTTCTATTAAATTTTCAAGCTTTCGCAACCAACAAATAAAATTTTATTGATATTTCTAGAAAAAAAACTAAAAAAAAACTAAAAATGAAAATGTCCCTAAACTGTTCAAAATAAATCAAAATATTTTGAAAATGTTATCGTGTATAGAATATGCAAATATAAACAACCAGTGAAAATTGCATGTACCTACGGTCATTTGTTTTAAAGTTACACCAAAAACCAAATTCAATTTTCTGAAAAATCGATTTTGCGTAAAAATTCCCGTTTTTCCTTAATTTTTCTTTTGTTTTTCCCGGCGCTCTTGAAAACTACTGGGAAATTTAAATTTTGACCTCCCCAATGCACCAACGATATTCACTTTCCAATCGAACAAGATACTGAAGTCGAAAATCGAAGCATTATTTCGACTACTTATCGTGTACACAGACACAAAAAAAATAAAAAATAAAATAAAAAAAAAATAAAAAAAAAAACACACATCATTGTAAAATCAATACATTCATCGTTTCACTCAGAATCTAAAAAAATAAAAAAAAAAAAAAAAAAAAAAACACACATCATTGTAAAATCAATACATTCATCGTTTCACTCAGAATCTAAAAAACACACATCATTGTAAAATCAATACATTCATCGTTTCACTCAGAATCTAAAATGTATATATTTTATAAATGTATAACATTTTAAAGAATTTTAGAGTTCAGTATACGCTTAATACTGTTATTATTACAATTAAATTGTATTAAATTACACATTAGTTTTATTATATTTAATATTTTACTGTTGTTTTTTTCTCAAGTCCATCTAAGACCTCATAGCTTAGTGAATTCTAACAACTAATTTAACATACCTCGTTTAGTCAAAAAAATTTTCACTTCTATTATATTACCTATAGGTACATCTTAAGTTCAATAGAATAATTAAAGTATTTCATTAAAATAACTTATTTTCTAGTAAATATAATGAAATTTACAGTTTTTTTCAAAATTTAAAATAAAATTTAATTTCTGACCAATGCATACAATATTATGCTATTATTTATGATATATGAGCTAACCGGAAATATGGTAAAATGTAATTTATTGTCGATTACAAAACATCAAAATAAGATGTGTATGTTTTTCAAGAAAACTTGTTTTACACACAGCGTATTGGCAAAATGTATTGTAAGGTTCCATTTTATTATATTTTATGAACGCGTTGTAAATGGAAACGTGTATACATATATTATAACAACAGTAGTCACATAACATGTTGTGGGTCGCAATTAATTATAATATTATAGACGGTTTGTGAACACGTCCCACTCACTGTCACTTAAAGAATATTGCAATAGAATATTATACAATGCACGTCGTATAATAGTGTGCATACATCGTTTTTCGACTGGTAAATACAAAACACCTCTTCGCGTTCTATAATAGCTCAGTGTAATGATACATAATATATAACTTCCGCTTTAGTATTATTAAATCATTAATTGAAATTGAAGATGTTTTCAACACTGTGACCGTAAATATTTATCGACTGGTCTAAGTATCCAGTACAAAATGAATAATTTTGATAAAAGCTAAAGCCGTTTGAATGTTTGAACACAATTATACTACGTCGAGTTTTAGTGGTATCATACAACATCTAACATCTTCCACGAAGTCACAAATCATCACAACGCTCATTGACGCTCCTTGAAAACAGTTAAATAGTAAACAAAATAATAAGTTTTTGTAGAGTACTTTTCTGTTTAAATTGTGTGAAATTAAATAAAACTTATTTACGTTAAATACGGAAATAATGTTTAGGTTTCTGAACGTGACACGTGTTTTCTCATTCAATTCACATGTGTTTAGCTATATTAAGCAGGAATAATATTTGTATAATATTTTAATAGTAAACTACAATTAATAAAATGTATGGATTTCCGTAATAATAATTTCATAGCAAAATATTGTTCTGAAATGAAAGATATAATTTATTTATCGAACAGTGGCACAATATTGCTAATTATATTATTAGATAAGGAAGTTTGCGTGACAGAGGAATATTTGATACTCTGCGATTGTTTGTGATGTACTTACTCTAAAAATGAATTATTACGAATCAACGTTGTCGAATGTACCCACGATGTTTTGGACGCCAAAATGATTAGACATTTTTTTAGTTGTTCTAATATGTGAAATCCCGAATAAAAGTACCTGGTATCTATAGTATAAATAAAAGTATTTTAAATTATTTTAATTTAGTGTACTGAGTACCTACTGATTAACTTTGAACAAAAAAAAATATATGTCGTTCAATATAATTATATTATTATGAGTTTGGCGATTCGATTATAATATAAATTGGTTGTCTTCCGTTTTCCAGGAGAGTTTCCGTTCGCCCCCGTGTACTGTCTGGCGTGGATATGTCTGGACGTGTTGTTCTGCACGGCAAGTATAATGCACTTGTGTACGATCAGCGTGGACCGGTACTTGAGCCTGAGGTATCCTATGAAATTCGGCCGGAACAAGACGCGACGAAGGGTGATACTGAAGATCGTGTTCGTGTGGTTGCTGTCGATAGCTATGAGTTTGCCGCTGAGCCTCATGTACTCAAAAGTAAGTTTTCCAAGTTATATTATGTATATATTGTATAATATTATGTACGTGTTTATTATTATGTATATATTATTATTAGTATACGTCGCGAATTTCTGGTCTCCTCCCCTCTTGGGCCCGTCTCGTCCCATTAAACTTTGAACTACTTACTTTTTTATTTATCGACCACCACTCCTCCTCAACGCAATGTGCATAATGATTTACCGCCACCGCAACTAAAACTATACCGCTACCGTGGTTTGTCGTCGGGTTTCGCCTTACGATGACAATATACCCAGAGGTGGTTTAATTTTCGATTAAAACTCGTCGCAAAACTTACATTTTAAAGATATTCCACTCGACGGGATACGAAAATCGGTTGATATAAAATCAAAATGACACGCTTGTCGGGGAATGGGATGGAGTGAAATTGTGGAGTAGTCGTGTGCGATGAGATATTTTTTCACATCCACCAAACTTACCTTCGGTTGTAATCGCACGCACGTAATGCTTACATTTACAATATAACTATGACGTGAAACTTAATAATAATATGTTTTCTTGTTCAACAATTTAAATAAATGTATGGTATCGAGTTTTGCGTTATTCATTAGATATTATTATAATATCACGTATTCAGGTCCAACATCGACGAGGTCGTTCGGAGGTTACCATGCCGATGTCGTTAATATTATTTAACATTTTTTAAAAAGGCATTATTATTTTGAAACAAAATTTCAATATAAATAAATATAAAATAACTACTGGAACTCAATAACACTGTCTAACAAACTCAAAAATATTAAAAAAACAATAAAAAAATGGAACACCCCCCCAAATCTCAACCGACGCCAAGACATTGCAATCACCCGCACCAGAATCGGACACTCTTTCCTCACTCACTCATACCTAATCAGTAAAGAACCCCAACCAATATGTGAACCCTGTCACATCGCATTAACCATCAAGCATATAATGGAAGAGTGCCCTCAATACTCCCGAATCCGCACCGATCTCAACATGCCACCCACCATAGCAGAAGCACTTGGCGAAAATCAAACAGACAAAATACTAACCTTTTTAAACATTACAAATATTATTAAAAAATTGTAACAATAAAACATGTATATATTATGTAAAACTAATTTCAAGAAAAATGTCATGTAATAATCTAATGTCAGGCTAATAACCTTAGTTGTTGAAGCCTTTTTCTTTAAATAAAAAAAAAAAAAAATATATAAAATATTTATATTGAAACTAGCTGGTGTAGTACCTACCCGTCTTCGTCCGGGAATAAAGAAATCCAAGATGGGCATGATCCACCTGTTGCGGATTGTAATAACTATGTAATAAAATAAACGAACACGTAGACTAATTTTTGTTCATCAAATTATTATTTGTTTTTTTTTGTTCTCTCTTTATTGTTTATTTTAACAATATTTTCTTTTGAATTCACTTTAATCACATTAAGCGATTTGACATTCCAAAAAACATGTAACAAGGAAATACAATAGTTTTATAAATGATTTTTGTTGTACACACGGCTCTGTTGGAAAATTAACCTGGCAATGTAGTTGAATAGTCCTTGAATCGCGACGGTCCTTGTTGAAGGTAGTTGAATTGATACAGCTATGGGACGTTGAGTATTATTCCGATGTCTCCGAGAACGTCGTACAGAGCTACGGACTCACGGTTCTCGTGGTCACACGGCAGCACAGATTTTAGTGATAGATGTAAGTAGGAATTTGTTATGGACGGCGGCGGCAAGTAATTATATTGTTGAATCTGCACTATTCCACGTGTTTTACTACGTAAGGTAGGTACTTGTGTGACGGCGGCGGTACGAGTTGATACTATCGAATATCGACAGTTCAAATAATACGAGTGGTACGGCGGACAGCACGACGGACGGTGGATTACTGCATTCGGCGGCGAGGTACGATGAAATACTGAGACGATAATATGGAGTTTAAACGGCACATCGGTTCGGACGGCGGTTTGCGGCGATATTCTTCTGGCCAGTCTGGACCAATAATTTATTGTCGGCCCCAAGCACAGAAGAATTATAGGGAGAGGTGTGAAGACTTTCCGGGTCCACGTGTTAGTTTGAACCATCTGTGCTGGTGGCCCCAGCCCTGAAGTTGTCCGCCTTGAACTGCTTCGAGAGAGAATTCGCGAATACATTAGTCGGCACTGTGTACGGTAGTCCTTTTGATAGTCGCTCACACGGTCTATTTACCAGCTATCCCGGTAGACTCAGTGTGAGGGAATGGCGATTCGTATGGCATCGGTCTTGGTGGTAATGATTGGTATGTTTCCGTCCAGGCGTGATGTACTGTTCATAATATGTAAGAGTTTGGGGTGAGGCCTTTGATATAGATATCGTCATATTTTCATATAAACTAGTAAAAAGGGTAGTAATTAACTCTGGTATTGTCAGGTTTTAAACGTGAGCGCATTCCACGCTATCTAGTGTGCGGGAGTGGTGCGCGTTCTCGAACGACGAACACTATTTTATAGATAGTTCATTCTTGGTCGACCGGAGACTCTTCGGCGCCCATCCGGAGACGACACATTTTTCATTAGTAGTACACTGTATTGCACGAAGATAAGTTAATTGCAGTAACTTCTAAGTAGGTAGTTCTGTCTCGTTACAACTAATATGCAGCTTTTTTTTTATCTCACATGTTATCAATATTAGAAGCAGAAATAAACTAATATATGGAGTCATGAATATTAATAGTGGGTAAGCCACCCTAAAATAACTGTTTCAATCTAAACCATTTTTGAATTGTCAAAATCGGTCTGTATTAAAACCATACACAACCATACACTTTTTTTTTTTGAGGTTTCAACAACTGAGGTTATTAGCCTGCAGTGGAACTGTGGGGGATTGTACTGTGAGTTTTGAACACGTGTGTGTTTGTGTGGGCATCACGTAGGTATCTTCCATGCCCGGTTGGGGGATAGCGGCCTCTCTCTCCGGACACCGTGACTGCCCGAAGAAAAATGACACCCGTGGCCGAGTTCAAACCGGCGACGGTGCACGTCGCAACCGACAGCTTAGTCCGCTTGGCCACTCCTTCCCCCACTTTACAGTTTATAAATTATAATATTCTGCTGTTATTCAATTTTATTTATATCGAATAGCTTTATCAGCTTGAATGACAAAATATATTTTAATACAAACAATTATATTTAATAATAATAACTATATTGTTATATGAAATCAATGGCAACCCCATGCACACATAAAAATATTTGTTTTTCATGAGCTGAACTAAAACAAATGTGTAAGGTACTGGGTGCCACTCTATAACGACCTTTATGAGTTGAAAAACGGAGCTACAAACCATAACCAAATCTAAAGAAATGTAACTTTTATTGAAAATAGTTTAGTAGTTTTTGAGTCCATAGAAGACAAAGACATAAACATTCAATGTTTATGTTTATAGATATAATATAATTTAAGTTTGCTTATCTGAAAAGTCTAAAGTCTCAACTCCCAGGTGAATTGGTTAAGGAGTACACTACTGAGACTGACCCCTACTAGCAGAAGTATATTTCACGCGTTTTTTACTTTACGCATATGCATATTTTTATTATTTTTATTTTTTAAAAGTATTCGTCAAACATGTAATTTTATGATTTTATTGTTTTTAATTGTTTTCTTAAAAATATTCTTTTGTGAATCAAACGCTCGATTTGGAATTTAATGTAATATGGAAGAACAAAAATATTATTATCCTTATTGTTTTCATTTTCACTTCATTTAAAAATACATTTATATATATGTATATATATATTTATATATACGTATTATTTATTATATTTTATATATATTGTAAATACTAACACTATCATTAAAATAGTTTTAAAATAGTTAATATCAAAAAAGCGTATACTTACATGAAAAATAAAAACAGTTTCGAATATCAGATTCAGTGAATCAAGATTTTACTAAAGAATATTAAATAATGTACATTTTTAAGAAAATAAACTTTACACAGAAAGTTTATAAAATATTTGTTTTTATAATATTCGACTGAGAAACCAAGCCGAGAGTAAAAATAATCTCATCGAAAGTTTGCATTTTAAAGCGATCATATTTGGATCAAAAAGTTTAAAAAGAACATAACACGTATCTAATGTTATGACTTATTTAAAATGATTTATAATTTATTTCGATTGAACTTAAGTGTTTATTTTGAGATATTCATATTGAAGACCGTCTCTACTCTCTTCTGAGTTCAGCATATACGTCAAAGTCTCTATGATATAGGGGCACTTAAAACTATATCCAGGTTAGCTAATTATATAGAAGACGCGTATCTACCCCTAAAATAAATAAATAAACAACTTTATCATTCCAGTAGAAACCATGAAATGAAACTTATATAATAATAATTGTAAAAAAATGCAAAATAAAAGTTTCTTAAATGGATTTGTTGTTACATAATTCAAATTATGTACTTAAAAAGCTACGTTTCACAAACAGCTTAAAAAATGCACTTTCTTACAAATGTACAGCCCTTCATATAGAACTGTATTATTTACCATCGTAAATCTAAAAACTCGAAATATGCACTATAAATAATTTATTTCTCATTTTTTTATAAAACAACAGAATAAGTATTTAATAACTATTTTGTTGGGTTAATTACTGGTTGGCCTTCCTCCTTGTAATGTATTAAATAAAACACCATTGTATCACCACATAAACTAATTAAATGTAAACATTTTCTAATTTCCTCTAGGTATATATTCAATTAATGGTTACTTATATCTACGATACATATATGATGCATAAATTTCCTTTGAAGTGGAAATTATACTAAGATCGATAGACGTATGATTAACAAATTAACATAATATTTTGTTTGACATATTGCTTTAAATAAACAAATTAAAGAACGCTCTAAGTGTAGACCTTCATTAACCACGAAAAATGTGATAGTTGCTTATTGAAGTAAAATCACTGTGCTCAAAACACATTTGCAGCTTGAAAAACATATCGCGTC